AGACATGGCAGGTTTCTGCCATTCGGTCCAGCGTTTGCCCTCCTTAATGCCATAGCAGTGTGCCTGTTCTCAGTGTTCTCTCTTCATCTGTTGTCTGCTCCTGCATGGGCTGTGTGCTGCCAATGAACTCAGAGACTAGTTAGTTGTCAAACTCTCTCTCCTCTTCATTAGCAGACACAGATCAAAGTGACAAAATGAGGAATCAGGAAATGAACAGAGGCAAGAAGAGGTAAGAGGAAAAATTTCACACAGGCCACAAACATTTGATTCCTTTCTACCTTTCTACCTACTTCTGCTGCACAAAAAGCTGCAGCTGGACAGTCTTCTCAAAATTTTCCATTCACCGAAACAAGCTCTCTACCTTGATCTGATTTGCACACTTTTTGCCATGCTGAACTTCGTGGTGAACTTCTTTGTGTCAGAGTTTCTAGCTATCAAATGTGTTCCATTTTGTGACTATAAACTGTCTTTTTTGTTTCTCTGCTGTGCTGTAGATGCCAAATTGGAGGCCATGCCAAGGCTTTGTATTTTACAATGGAAGCGCTTATGAATAGAAGCTGATTAAGGCTTTGCTTTCCATCCTGCTTTTTTGAAAGGAACGGGCTTTAGTGAAACTTAGTTACTTCTGAAACATGATACTATTGCATAGCAATGTATGACATTAACACCAAATTTCTGGATTTGTCTGCTTTGCTGATCCTAACTGGGCTAACTTGATGGCTGTCAGCGCATGATGTCTCTAGGTAAGGCTGTGATTCTAAGGGGTGCCATACATTGTCACCCTCTTCTTTTTCTTTCCTTTCCAGAGAGTCTCGCTTTTCAGTTTAGGTCTATTCCTGTGAAGGATTTGAGGTGATCATGCCTACATTGCTGTGTATAGCCCACTAGGAAAAGAAATACTAGCTCCCTGTCTTATCTACTTACAGCATCTAGGATGTTTCTGAATCTATTGCTTTGATACCCGTCCTGGAAATCATATTCCAGTTGAGCATATCTGGATCTGGGTGCTAAGAAACCTCACAGTGCAAGCTGAGAAGTAACCTGGTCCCTTTCAACTTCTTTCAAGCTGCTCTTCAAGTGTCTCATTCCTGCGTGAAAGATTACATGTGTGTATATGTAGTAGCCAAGTAAAAACATCTTTAGCTTTGTGGAATTTAAGTTTCGTCATTATTTTCCATCTAGAAATAGCTCTCTGAGTATCAGCAACTACTAGTCCCAGGCTGAGAAAGGACAAAGTCTGGAATAAACTCCCCTGAACAGAAGATGGAAGAAGGTGGTTTTCTTGGCTGGCTCAACTGTGGGGCCAGACACACAGCAAGCTGGGCTTTGTTTCGTGACTGGTGGAGTTCTTCCTGTAACACGCCTTAAAAGGGAAGTTCTGATTGAGGTAGCGGTTTAGCTGTGAGTCATGCAAGTGAAATGTTAACTCTGGTTCTCAGACAAAAGCAAATCCAAATTCCTGAAAGTGGTCTCACCCCTGAGCCTCAGAGAGCTTTGTCTTTGCTAGCTGGAAGCAACAAAAAGAAATGGGAAGACTTCTTTCCAGTCATCTTAATCAAAAAGTCTCTCTGCTACGTTACCTGATAAGTAATTACAGGGACTGGAGTAGGGAGTGGCATGCAGACAAGGGCCCAGGAAATATCTTTCTTTGGTTTGTTACCATGGAGATGTCAGAAAATGGCAGTTTTGGTGTTTGGCAGTTGAACCACAGGTTCTGCACCTGAGAGAAGTTTTTTGTATTTTCCAATTCATCCTCCAGGAGGGGCTGACCTTTCTCTCCTGAGCCATATATATCTTTGCATATCCCTCCCTCAGTAAAAACCACTGTGTTGTGAATATGTGTACAGGTATTGGCTTGAAGAATGCTTAGTTCTAGTGTCCTGGTTTTGGCTGGGATAGAGTTCATTTTATTCCTAGTAGCTGGCACAGTGCTATGTTCTGGATTTAGTTTGAGGATAACGTTGATAATGCACTGATATTTTAGTTGTTGCTCAGTACTGCTTACTCTAGTCAAGGACTTTTCAGCTTCCCATGCTCTGCCAGGTGCACAAGAAACTGGGAGGGGGGCACAGCCAAGATAGTTGATCCAAACTGCCCAAAGGGCTATTCCATACCACATGGCATCATGGGCAGTATAGAAACTGGGGGGAGTTGGCTGGGAGGCAGCGATCGCTGCTCGGGGACTGGCTGAGCATCAGTCAGCAGGTGGTGAGCAACTGCATTGTGCATCACTTACTTTGTATATTCTTTTATTGTTGTTATTATAATTATTATTATTATTTTCTCTTCCTCTGCTGTTCTATTACACTGCCTTTATCTCAACCCACGGGTTTTACTTTTTTTTTCTTCCGATTCTCTCCCCCATCCCACAGGGGTGGGGGAGGGTGAGCGAGCATCTGTGTGCTGCTTAGTTGCCTACTGGGGTTAAACCACGACACTTAGTAAGTCACAAGATGCTGAATATTAAAAATCTAGAAAATACAGAATATGAACTGCCAGCACAGTCAGCATCAAATCCCACATATCTGGCATCACAGACCTGGCAAAGCCATATTAATTATGATTGGTTTATCACTATTTAGAAGAATGTGTTCCTCAGCAGCAATCCTTGGCACAAGAAAGGCACCGGGGCGAGAGGGATGGAGGGGAGGAGGACCACAACAGCTGGGATAGATATCTGGCTGATATACAGTGACTGGACAGTGATGCACCAATGAATGAGCAGCAGGCAGGAGTTTGTCTTCTCCAGGCAGGCTGCATCTGTGTGGCAGAGTAGCTAGATGCTCTGCATGTGTATATTGACAGTTTGTTTCTTTTTTCATTTGCCTAGCAATCATTGCAAACTGTCATTTGTACGGCTTCCTCGTCTAGGTTACACAAGGCCTGCTAACAGTAAATGCCAGCAGCTCTGTTACCCCTAAAGATTTCGGTCAGATTTTAAAATAATGTTTAAATTGGTAATGGCGAATACTGAATATTTCCATTGAAAGTTTGCGTAGTCAAAGCTGTGAGCAAGGCTCACTGTGCCCTCTAGTGTGCACAGTCTGTAGCTCCACTTTCCGCTCATAATGGCATGAGGGAAATGGAGCTGTTTTTTCTAGCAGTGGATTGGCATGGCAGATTACTGCGTGTCCTCCACGTTGCCCACACAAGACAAAGACTAGAATTACAAGGCACTGCACTGAGCCTGTTGTACTTTGGCTGACATGGTACCCAGAGACAAGGCACAAACACAGTTGTTGTGGTCTGATGGGAACTGACACTGCACATGAACGGATGAATTGCCTACGCGCAGATTAAGCATGTAAGTTTACAAGTGAGGAAAGAAAAATTCTGTGCTCTGGTTTCTTTTTGTCCTAGATAAAGCCCGTACAAAAAAAAAAAAAAAAAAAACCAAAACCAAAAAAAAAAAACCCCAAACTGTTGAATGTGAGTGTTTCTAGAAGTTTTACAGGTGGCAGAGATGAATATTATTCCCCTTACCTCTACAGCTTTTTCCCTGTCAAGTTCTGAACATAGTTAGGGTCATAGATCTTTACCTATGTATGGGGCTATATTGACATCTCCCATGTTCCATACTGGTCTCAGGCCTGGTCTTTGCTGGCAGTCTCATCCCCAGATTGCTTCATTATCCTCTTAATGTGTTTAGTCTGATGATCCACTTTTTGCTGTTCTTCCTTTATGTCATTAAATTTGTCTACACACAGGTAACTCCTTGTGCCAGTAGCCTCAAGTCCATTCAGCAATGCATTCCCAGGAAGAGGTTGGCTAAGGTGTCCGAGCAGTCCCTTAAATGATTCAGTAACTGCATAACACTTAACTGCGAACATCCAGAACACTAAGGCAATGCAGTGTTGCTGCTGGCTGCTGCAAAGCCACTCTGATTCCGCCTACTGAAATAAGGTGGTAGGAGGGTATCCTGCAGTTCAGATGAGGGCAGCATGCATCATGAGACACTTTGTAGGCCATGCGTGCAAGGTTCTTGGACTCTAAGTCTTAGACACTCCTTTCACACAGAATCACCTTTTTTTACTATATCTGATGTGATTTGTCTTGTTCCCTGATTCTATCCATTTTCAGGCAACTCTTCTCCAAGTCTTCTGATCATAATGCACTGATAACATTAGCCTTTAAAAGCTGCTGATTATCTCATATTCTGACACTTGCATCAGTATGTTGGAGGAAGAAAAATGTAAAGCAATGACACTGGAATATGCTTGCCCAGCAGGCAGTAAAGCAGCCACTTATCGTAAAAGGAAGATGCGGTGCTCCAAATGACTGAACTGTAGACAAGCTTCCATTCTCTGCAGTGACCAAGCTCAGGACTATTGCTGAGCTTATGACCTCCCCCAGGCTGTCCTTCCCACTCATTATTTTGCCAGAAGGTGCAAATTCATTGTTTCATTCACTTCCTCTAACAGCTTTCAAGGAGTTCCCCCAACCATCCCCTTCTTTCCCACAGCAATCAGCTGTTTCCCCAGCCAAAGCGTTGATTTCAGAAGAACATCACACTGTACTGCCCGTACCTTTCCTGAAGATCTTAAAATGCCATTTTTTATGTACTGCCAGGCAACTGATAGAGCGTAGCTGCCAGGTAGCTTTTTAAGTTCCACCCCTACATAGCAGTACAGCACATTTCCAGCCCCAGGTTTCACAGAAATAAGCCCTCTAGCAATGGTGGATTTTTTTTGCCTTACATTCCACACTGAAGCGTTGTAAGGTGGTTCTGGGTGGTACGGTGTATGTTCTTCCTGGACTGAGCTGCCCTTGGGACAGGAAACTTGGGAGGTGGAAGTCTTCTCATTTGCTTTCAATAAATTCTCCAAGAATTCTGAAGAAATCATTCTTTTGTGGTGTGAGCAACTTCTCGGTGTAACAGGTGTTCTTTGTGAGAGCCAGAGACCATTCTTACTTACAAATGTGTGGGTTTGACAAAATAGGTAGCAGACCTTGGGAAGAGAAACCTTCTTAAATTCTTGTCTGATTCTGATTTTTCATAGGACTCTATGTATTGGTGGGAGCAGGGGCTCTCATGACCACAGTTGGATTTTTTGGGTGCTGTGGAGCTGCGCGGGAGTCTCAGTGCTTACTTGGAGCAGTAAGTAAAAGGTTTCAAGGGCCTGGGCTGTGCAGGAAAATCATTCAAAAGAATATGCTTTGTGTGTTTAGTGGAAAGATCTTTGCTGTCCAAGACCTGAAATGTCTTACGTCCTTTTACTGGCTAATCTAGCATCTCTAATCACCGTGCTATTGCAGAGCTTCCATACATGAAGAAGTTCCATTGCTTGTCTCATGTGATATATTTCCTGGAATTACCGTCTGTCTTTTCTGAAGCTACCATCTGAGCCACATCTTTGCCATTTCCACCTTTGTTTCCATATTACAAGAAACCTGACTTGACACCCTTGTTACGGAACCTGCTTACCGGCTTTCTTTCAGTTACTGTGTGGGCTGTTGAGGCCTGGGCAAGGATGAGGGACTGGCTGGCAGTCCATATAAAGCAGAATTGTGCAAAGTGTGTTAATAGAAGATTCTCTTCTTCCTCTGCAGTTCTTTGCTTGCTTGTTGGTGATATTTGCGGCTGAGGTCACTGCTGGAGTATTTGCCTTTATAGGCAAGAAAGTGGTAAGTAGCAAGCAACTTCTAATGTAATAATGGGGCAGTTATGAATTCCAGAGCCAACTGACCTACAGTCTGGCTCTTGCATAGGAAAACTTTCCAGGAGACTTTTCCCAGGAAGACTCCCTAACATTCTCATCTAGAGTCAATGAGAGCTTGTGTTATCACAAGTCCAGAATGGGATGCAGTTTTTGCCCCCCTCTATTAAAGAAAATCTGTAGGTGTGGTTCAACCTTACATCCACAAGGAACATCAAGTAGAACTATATGATAAGAGGGTATTGCTTGGGAAAAGGGCAGACAAATTCAAGTACTGAATTTCTCCACCTAACAGTGTTTAACCAAAATACAGAATACAGCATATGTACATTCTGACCCATGCAGAGTCCCTCTGAATGCCATCAGGCCATGGAACCTCCTATCTTTCTAATCATGGTACCTCAGTTTACCAGGCATAATTTTCTGCTCTGGAGGTTGATGACATGAGCTGGAAGTCCGCACTGGATTGCGGGTAAGACTTATTTGCCACTCACTTGGAAAGTCTGATTTCTGCAGGCAATACAGGAAGCTCAGAAAATCTATGAAGACATTTATGATGACTATATGAAAAACCCAGGGGGGAAGGTCAACAGGACTATCTATCGCTACCACTTGGCTGTGAGTAGTCCTCCTGAGCTTTAATATCTTGCGCTGCTACTCCACTGTCACGTCATCCTTTAAAATTCAGAACGCCTCCCGCTGAGGTATGAAAGAATAGAACTGAGTGTTACTTAAAATGGAGCCAGAGGCTCACAACCTGGTTTCCTGACGGCTCTGTCAGAATTGTTGTTTTCAGATCCCAAGTGATCCTTACCTTTCAAAGTGAAAATGGCCAGGCTTTTAAGTTTCAGCTGATGCTTCTGGTCTTTGTTGTGCAGAAGACATGACTATTATGGCCCTTTTGGATATTAAAATCCAAGAATAAACACTCACAAATGCAGAGAGGTAGAAGTTGTGAATCTCTCTGCATTTATCGGAGAAAAAACTGTGACCTGTGTCCCAGGACCTACAACGTGGCAGATCCTGTCACTGACTGAACCAAGTAGGTAAAGAACCAAAAGCACATGTGTGACTCAGTTCAGGCCACCCAAAAAGTTAGCGTCTGAATCAGAATTAGAACCTGTGACATCCTGAATCCTATTTGTATCCATCCCGTATCTACACTGCCTCCCACAGAGATCAAGCCCAAGCTTTGTTGCTCCTTACAGCATTCCCACGTTCTTTAGAACAAACATTTCACAACCTCAGACCCTTTTGTCCTTCTCCCATAGCTGTTATTTCTGACCCAAAGAGGAATTCCAGGCATTTTGTGGGAGATAGGCAAACAGGAAAAACAAACCCTCTGAAGCACTCTGATTTATTACTGTCTCCAAACCCAGAACTATGTTTTGTCAAAAATAAAGATTCTAGCATTCTCTCTTGTAGCTTTTGTGTGTTGCCCGTAATTCTGTATGCGCTATTTGAACGTTCTGCTTTCTCCCTCTAACAACTCCTGTTTCCTTGTAAGCCAGGGATCTGCTTTTCCAAAATCCACTTGTTTGCTTTGTTATGAGATACTGTGATAAAAATCCCTTCTGGAAGTTGTTGTTAATACAGATTTGTCTGTTTGCTATGGCTTCAGACAACCAAAACTGATTTTTGAGAATTTTGGCCCTCACAGTTGGAACTCTACCAGAGGTAGCAGTTAATATAGGGAATAAAATTATTACTTGATCTGTATTGTTTCTTTTTTCTTAGGTGTTTATTGTCTCATTTTCAGTATGAAACTAGTAACTCACTTTCAGTGTGAAACAAGTCTATGGTTTCCTTTTCTTTGATTCTTCATCTCTCTCTCATTTAGCTCCAATGCTGTGGTAAAGATAATATGGAACAACAAATGGGATTACCCTGTCCAGAGAACATCCAGATGCCAAAGGCAAGTTTCCTCTGTTCTGGTTGTTCTAATCCTTTTTCATGTCAATTGTTTAGTAAAATTGGAGAAATTGGAGACATTCTATAAGTGAAAGAAAGGAATATTTCCTTTTTATCTTGCAAATTCCAGCATGAAATTCCATATGACATGGAGCACAGCGGAGGCAAAAATAACTTGGAGGTCATATTGAACATGCCCAGCCCTCCTTTTTGAAGCCTGCTCGTAGCATCCCATGGTAGCTGAGACAATGTTACATGATCTGAAAAGTGGAAAGGACGTAGCAGAACAGGAGTCCTAAATAAAAAGCCCCGCGAAGGCTGAATTTTGGCAAGTGCCTGCCTTAATCGTGCATGCAGACTCCTGACTAGAAACTTTGTTGGTGTTAAGAAGGATACTGTTATTTCTGTCTTTTGTGGAATCTGCTTGTGCATACAGTGATGTCAATCTGAAGAGCCAAACGTCCTGATTTATCATGGCCTGTCACATAAAGGATTTTAAATTTAGGGAAAACTGATTCTAAGAAAATTACTTCTATGTGTCAGCCTCTACAGGCAAGAGGTACAGATGTCTCACTAGAAAAGGGAATATATTGTGAAAATTGTCCAACAAAACATAAGGCATACATGCAAGAATTAGGACAGTGACTGCAATAATATTTTTCATGTTTATCTGTTGTTTAGTGAGAACAGCTGACAGAGTTGGAGTATACTTTTCTAGGAGTAAAAATCTTTGAATTTTGTTTTTGATAGAACTGCCTCGTTGAAATCCAGAATGTAATTGATGCTAATCTGCATTTAGTTGGAATTGTTGGAATTGCAATTGCTGGCATCGCAGTGAGTAAATCCATGTTCTCACTCTCAAATCTACCTTTGAGCCCAGTACCCTGCTCCTTACTCAAAGCTTTGTGGAAGGTGTTTTGCGGCAGCTTCTGAGATTCTTCAAAGGTGCAGCTATTCTTATCACTTTTGTGTGTCCTCTCTCTGGGAATTGCCCACATCAGTGCAAGCAGACTTGTGTGACTTCATTTTTCCAGTTCATTTTGTGTTCTTAGACAGGGTCTAAAGTATCTAATGGTAATCTTGTTTTGTTGTAGTAGTAGGAAAGCAGAGTGCACATGAACCAAACTGGAAAGCAAAAGGCTGTAGCAGCATTTCATCTATTCCAAAACAACTGCAGACTGATGCTTTAGGCCCTTTGAGGATCCATTCCTTAGATTTCATAAGGACTAGAGAGGACCTACCCTTTGTATAGAAATGGCTTTCCAGGAAAACGCTGGCTGTATCATTGGTTCGGTGTGAAGGATAGTTTATAAACAGATTTTCTAGGTCATAGATCCAGTGATCAGATGTATTTTGTTAAAGGAACAGGATTTAAACTGCATAGTTTTCAGAACAGCAATTCTTTCCTAAACGCGTCACACCTAGTTACGGGTAGCTGTTTCATCAAATTGTGTCGTCAAAGTGTCGATAACTTTCCTTACAGGCCACCTTCTCCCACAAGCGTCTGTTGCTGTATTCCCAAGGTCTCCTCCTTCATGACAGGGCTGTGACCAATAGATGTCACCCTGCTGCCAGGACACGCAGGAGTGGGCCGTCTGTATCACACGCAGGCTTTAACAGAAAGCATTTTCCAGCACGCGTGTGCCATGACTTCCTTCAGACTCGGAAAGCAGCAGCAGTCTGAAGCAGCATGAGGAGCTAGAATATTAGTAAAGAAATACACCTTTAGCTTCTCTGAAGAGCAGGGGGTTCATGGACTTACGTGGACACTTAAAAGCAGATGAAGGGTTTATGTATGTAGTAGAAACCGTGGCGTGAGTAGAGGCGATTAAACAATCCTGTGATTTGTATAAAACCTTAAGGTGTACCCAAAAATACAGCAAAGCAACATGGGTGGGACAGAGTTCCGATAACCTCATTGCTCAGCAAGGATACACTAGAAATATGAAATCTCTTCTATGACTTCCCACCTCAGATACAGCAGGAGTTATGAAATTATAACCTATTTAGCAGCACAAACATGTCTGTACATTTTTCTGTGCTTGTTTCTGACAGTTCATGGGGTATGACTGGTCAGCTGTCTCCTTCTTCCTTAGGGAGGTGTGTGGGGAGGGGAGATGAACTCACTGGTTTAACTGCCTGATAGTATTGCCCTTCTCCCGTCATTAGCAATGAAGCATCAGGGGGTAGCTGCTAACTGTGGCAAAAAAGAAATTTCTGGAGACTGGCAACACCCACTGTTCTCTGCTTTTAACATTCCCTCTAGTTAACTAGTTCTCTTACATGAATAGTTCTATATTTAACGTATAGTCTTGAGGTCTTGACTAGTACCTGTTAAGAGCTTAGCTTTCTCTGTAAAACCGCAATGCTCAGCACCAGTTCCAGAGACCTGGTTCATTCCGGAATCATTCTCTGCTCTTATTCAAATGTGTATACAATATTCCACGTCGAAGCATTCTGAAACTCAGAACCTTTTGGTGCAATGCTAGGTATAATACCAATAGTCACAGTCATTGATGTCAGTGAAATTTATGTTAATAATATTAACATTTGGGGCTGTGATGCTGCCCTTAACATTTAGAAAAAAGAACAGTGAAACTGGTGTGAGCTTGTCTTTAAGTATCAGTGAGATGTCTTTTATTGTAATTGTTTGATGTCTTGGAGTTTGTAGATGGAAGCAGTCACTTGCTATTCTGCCATAAGAACCTTCAGATTGTTCTGATATGCAGACTATTTTATAACTGTTTTGTAAGTGGATCCCTAAATTGCATCCCTTCTCTTCTAGATCTTTGGCATGATATTCAGCATGGTTCTGTGCTGTGTGATCCGTAACACAAGAGACGTGATCTAAAACTTTCACTACACAACTATGTCCCAGGAGTTCCAGACTAAGCTTTACAAGAAGTGCTCTTCTACCCAATTTAATAATTGTAATGCATTTTAATTAGTGTTTTAACATACTGAGAGGAAAATATCCCATTAGGTGAGCAGGTGAATTGTATTAGTTACAGTAAAACCAAAGTGACAAAAAAGGGGTTTAAAATGTCCTTTTTAATGAAAAAAGCAAAGGTTCATCTAAGACTCATTTGATTTTTAGTGTTTATATATGTGCAATTAAGAGTTTACACACCTGTAGACATTGTATAAGCACATGCATATCTCTCCTTACAAATATATATGCACATGAGCAGGTACGTGTATACTCAGTACCTTGTTTAGGTAAGTATGTGCAAATGGAATATGTTGTGTGTGCATGTTTGCACGCATATTATCCCAGAGTCTCACTATGCGAGAGTGTACACACACCCACAGGTACACAGTGCTTGAAACCCTTTCATACTGAGCCCCAGTTTGCCGAGAATTAGCAGAGGAACAAATGCTATTTTAAAAAGTAAGACCTATGATCCATTTTGTAACTGTTCTTTCCGAAGCCCAAACAGAGTACAATTAATAAAATTGGACCTTATTAAAAAAAAAAAAAATGCCTGGGGGCCTGCTCTAGTAAACTGTAATTCATGTGAGTAGACCCATTGACTTCACTGTCATGCAGAGACTGGAATTTTTTTTTTTTAGGACTGGACCCTTCATGCAAATGCAGAAAGCTCTGGGGGAGGAAACATGTCCAAGGAGATCCAGGCTAAAGGAAGAGGGGGAAAGAGGTGGGAAGCTGGCAAGATAACACAGCAATTGCAGTGCGAAGTGTGCTTAAGCTTCCCAAGCTAGCTTGAGACACACACACCCCCCCAAAAAAAACCCAACCTACAAGTTAAAGGGGCCACTAAAATCTTTATTCAGAAGTCCCTTTATCCTGCAAGACTCTATATGGTATATATGCTGGTGCAGGAGTGGAGCCTATATCCAAAAAAGCAGCAGCTTTGTCAGATACTCTGTAGAATCTAACTGGCCTGTGGAAGCCAACCGAAGAGTAAAATGGTCAGGAAAAGACACACAGCACTTTAATATCCTCTGTTTCTGTGACTATCACAGCTTCCTTGGGGCTCTTACCTCAACCTCTCACCCTTTCTTTCGGGTGTAAGGCAGGAAAGAAAGATGGGACATTTTTACAGAGCCATAAAGTAAATTTTCTTACTGGCACCTTTAGATTGCATGTCAGGTACAAAAATTACACTGTGTGCTTGAAATACCTCAGGGCTTGCGTTTACATAGTTTGTTTCTATATTTTTATTTTTCTATTTGTCATATTTATTCGTAAGAGAATGTTCCTTTTAAAACAGCCTAGAAGGGAGAAAGTTTGTCCCCAGAAGGGGAAAATAAATTACAACAAAGGCTCAGAATCTTTTAATTTTTGGCTTTCTCGAGTTAATTCACCATTTCAGAGAACAGCTTTTTGCTAACAATATCCACATAGCAGCTTAGTCTCTCTGATGATCACTAGTTCAGATTTCTGATGCAGTTCCACACATGATGGGGAAAAAAGTTCAGCTAAACTATATATGTCATTGAAATGGTCCATGATGTCTAACAGGACCTGGCATTTACAAGTCATGGGGTCTTTGTTCCACTGAAACACGATGGAAAGAAATGGGATTTCAGAAAATGTGTACGCTCTAGTGCACGTGTTTTTGTGGAGCATACATCCCTCATGATACTTATCTCATTTTCCAAAGAAACTCAGATTCCCATCAGTTTTCTGTTACTTCAGGGCTGGAAATAGTGTCGCTGTTCCATGTACCCAATTTAATTGATACATCTTGCTGTGTTTTACGCAGATATCTCTTTTCAAATTGTTCAACCACAAACTGTGACACTGCGACAGCTGCGCACTAAACACCGCGTATGCAGCAGGCACTGCCGACTGAGCAGTTTCCGGGCCTGGCTTCAGGTACACAGCTGGCAGGGAGACATTATATCATATGCCAAAGAAGAGTTAGGCTTGTATCACCCTGTTCACAGCTGATTAGCTAGGGATGCCACGTAAAAGCAGGGCCTGGGACCTTATTCTGCAAGCATCACACCAGGAAACAGGGCCCTGATCTGCTGGCTGCTCCCAAGAAAGGCTCAACTGGGAGAATGACACTGGCAGCGAATCCATGAGGGTCTCAAGCTGAAACTAAGATACTAAATTTCTCATGGCAGACAACTGACACAGCCAAAGCAATTTCCTGGATCCCAGCTACACCTGAGACTGTCCCTACAACTGGTTTTGCTCTAAATAGATAATGGGATAGTATACAACTGGGGTGTTTTCTCCCAAGGTAATACGGACAGAAAGAAGAAACCTGTGTATAGTGTAATTTTTGCCATTCAGAGCAAGACAGCTTTCCAGGAAAACCAGTAAAAATAGCACAATAGGGAAGCCAGTGGTTCAGGTTCCAAGATTATTGCCCTGCAGGGATAGAAATTTATTGCAAATAAATCTATTTCCTTCTGTTACACTCCCCCTCCTAGTGACAGTATTTTATTTATTTTAAACACATCCACATAAAATTCGGCTTAATTCCTCAAATTTGTAGCACCAGAAACTAATGATAGGACCAGAGTTTACTTCTTTATTTGTTTACTGTTTTTTGAGTAAGTTAGAAGTCCACTCCTGCTTTTGAGATGCACTGAATAAAAAGGCAGCTTGCAGAAACCTCTGTTGCTTCCTCAGCCCCCCGCTCCCCCAGAAATACAAAAACATCTACGTGCCTTATGAAAACAGGGAAGAGTGGTACAAAGAAACCTTCTATAAATTCAGACTCAAACAACCTAACTTTCTGCTAAAGTGTTTTGGGTTTGTGGGGTTTTTTTGCTTCCTCTGAACAGCACATTTGTTTTTCTGAGCATAATTACACTAGGGTTTACTGCTATTTAGGTATATGGGATACTTGCACTGCATATTGGGAACAGAATAATACCAGTTACTGTTTTAGTTCTCTAAGTTATTGTTATAACTTAAGGTGGAAATCAACATGCTATGCATCTACTCATGCCTTTAATGGAATCCAGAGATATAGCTTCTTTTTGTCATTTCCTGCTGTTGTCTGCTGTTGTGAGGTGCGCAATATATTTGAAGTTTTCTCTGCATCTTAGTAACTTAAAGCCTTTTTTAACTCATTACGGGACAGAAAATACAGCTGTTCTTTCCCCATCAAAGCTGTAAGAATTCTTTCCTGTTGCTTTTAGATCACAGCTAGTTAACAACTCCAGTTTACATTGACTAGCTTGAGCAGCCCTTTTTAAATGCTCCGATGTCACAGGCGGGGTTATGGCTATCAAAACTGGATATATAGTGCCCACAGTTTATTGTGCTGCTGCTCTTTCATTTCAGCTCTTGAAAGTGCAAAATCTTTGATCTTTGTTGGCAGTACAAAACCATTTCCAAGAAACTACACCATATGTCTTCAATAAGACAGCTTTTCAAAGGTAACTAAATCCAAACCAGTATCTAAACTTCCTCAAATACAGTTCACGCTCCACAGTTGCATGCCAGGATTTAACTAACAAACTCCAATGCTTGTATGCACCAGATACATAGTAACTGCCATATAAGTCAGCAGAAGTACCCATTTAGTCCTGTGCCTTGTACCTGTTTCAGAGGGAAGTGACAAAAGATCAAATCCCTCCAGGCAATAATTCTGAAAGCACATCATCACACACGTCTTCTTCTTCTCCTGTCAAACAGTTTGTTCTAAAGCATAAAGATGTAAACTGTTGATGCCCTTATCGTATCTCTAAGCATCGTTATTCACATTTCCGGTATCTAATTTTTCTAAGTAACTGACTTCAGTGGGAGCTTCATTTGTTACAGGAAGACCTCAGCACAGCCCTGTAATATCCCTACAGTGAAGATTCATATTTCACTTTTCTTCATACTGAAAGTGATAGTTTTATAGCAAAATATATTTCATATGTATTGAAAAAGAAATTTGAGTTATTTTAAGCCTCCAAGTGCTATATTCTACAGCCTTTGGAGGCTACTGAGTAACAGCATCAGATGCCGCTCATAGAAAATGTACATAAATAAAGCTTTTCAATCTTACTTCTTCCTGTCTATTGGCCCCCCAGCCACTAGGTTCTCCAAAACACAAACCACTTCCAGTATAACATATTTGTTTCTATAGCACAAATTCCGATTTGGGGCAGAACTGGCGCATTGGTTTATGCCACAAAGTCTGTAGCAGAATTACCTCTACGGCAGCTTTCTTTGAGAGAAAAAAAAAACAAAAATTATTCTGTTGCTGAAATCAGCTTTCACTTCCCTTTAGTCTAATGTGTTCCGAAGTGGCGTTTTATCAGCTTTTCTGTCTTGAATTTGAAACAACTTTCTAATAAAAATAACCCGAAGTAAACGACTACCAGAGAGAACTTGCCTCTGTGCCCTGCCGCGCGCTGCCAGAGCCATCCCCTCAAGCTCCCCGGCTCCAGGCCAGGCAGGTTCGGCGCCGCGCCCCCTCCCGCCACCCGGCACGCGGCG